TTAATATTAGAAAACTCCTTAAGACTTATTCTTCCGAAGACATTACTCATTACAAACACGTGGGTAGGTCCCTCAATCTGACATCGATAAAAAAATAAATATAGTTGTGATTTGTGCAATAAGTGGGTTGATAAATAATTTACACAGACAATTATTTTATAACACGGAAATTATTTAAAACTCCTTGTTCTCGGTAAGGGGGAGGTACGTGCATAAGTCACAATCTATAATTATACATAATAAGTTTTATTTAGTTACATTATACACCAGCCTAAGATAGCGAAGATCAGGGAGGTGTGTAGATGATAGAAAAATGCACGACGAAGATGCACGTCTTTAGCAAATTCAGAACATTATTGCTAAGTCTGACAGTTTGTTATACCTATTTTATTTAAAATGAAAATACAAATTCTGATTACTCATTAGGGTGGGTCGAAAAACAATAATGTTTAATTTTTTAATTGCTATACCTCGGAAAACTTGCCTTTGGGGTATATAATTAAAATAAAGTTATATATTGAACCCCCAGCTAGCGCATCATACTTAAAATTTAGATTTTTTTTTTTCAGAAATCAAGACATTTTTCAATTATTTTTACTATCTTTAGCTAATAATATTTGAACGTACTATAGTGAAAATTGTTTAGTTAATAGTTTAAAAAATAAGAAATAAATTTCAATAAAACAGACAATATCTTTTCAAAAATTCACATATTTGCACCTTAAAAGAAGGTGTGGTACCTATAGTATGTTGTGTTGGGTGTTACGTTGGCGTCGTATTGCGTGTAGGTGGCGGTAGTGATGGCCTTGAGTTCGACACATTTTCCCTACTATCCACCTTCTTCCAACACCGCCCACAATGCATTGCCATCAAGGCTGCCAGGTCTAGGGATTTATCCCGAATCTGGGGATATTTCAGCATAAAAGCATCGAGCAAAAAGACAAAAGAGGGAATGTAAAGGTAGTGGGGGCAAAAATATTGTTAGACAGGAAGTGCGATCTTTAGAGGCCACATTAAACAAGGAAAGAGAGTCTCACTCCTTGTTTGACATCAAATTTAGTTGGGTTATGTTATTGTTTGTCCCAAATGTCACATGAAATCTTATTTATATTGAAGTTTTTTAACAATTGTGTCGCATTTTAGACTATTACCGTTAATAATTAATTAAAACTTTCTCGTCTAAGACACATTCTGAAAAATATATAGTTACTGTTAATAAGTGTCGGAAAATTGAAATTTGGCGCATTCGCATTTCCGGATATGTCCGCCATCAGAGGCCACTTTTTTGGTCTCCTTTTCATAAGGATTAGATTCCCTCTTTTGTCTTTTTGCTCGATGTATAAAAGGGACAAAGGGATTTTTTTGATATTTGGTGTAAAATCTAGGGATTTTTGACCGGCTCAAATATTTACCTACATAGGCCTATTATAATAACATTTTCTTTAATTCAGGTATAAAACCACTTCGTATTAACAGTATTAAATAAGCGATCTTTCATTACAAATAATTAAACTAATAGTAAACTACTTAAGAATTCTATTATCAGATGTCGCTAACTGTCCACGTTCTTGGAATCTTTATTTTATGCTACCAAATAGATTTCTGTCAAAAATAGAGTCCTATATATTTTCAGAAAGAAGAAGCAAATTCTGGAGCTGGAATTAGGGGATTTACAAAAGTCCTAGGTTTTATAAAATAAATAATTGGGGGATTTACAGTAGGAATCGGGTGATTTACAGGATTCGTGAAAATAAATAAATAAAATTCTATGCTTCACTGTTTCATTTCTCTTCAAGTTGTATTTTGTATTAATTTTATTAAGTAAATAATACATAATAATATATTAAGTGGAATATTCAAAGCCATAAATACGTACGTTATTCCGTTTTTGTTAAATTTATTCAAATCATCGCTATTGTACTGTTTAAAAATGTAATGTTTATGAAATAGAGGTATAAAACAACAATTTTTTTTATATCAATGTTATTATATTAGGCAATTATCAATACATCCCATAATTTTATTCAGAATTAGGCAACCATATATACATTTATTAATCTAGGTTCAATTTAGGGAGGACAAAAATTTTCACCTGGCAACCCTGATTGCCAGTTCGTGCTCTGATGTATAGTACAGTGGCTTGTGTTGTATTGATGTTCCTGGAGTATCACCTTATTTTGACGTAGTTAACTAAGTAAATATTGCATCAAATTATGTCTGTTTCTAAGAAGTTAACTCGAAGTGAGTCTGCATAAGTATTCCGTGGATTCAGTATTTAGTCCTTCGACTCTAAATTGTTGTTTGTGTTGGCGCCGCTCTCTTAGGTGTGAAGTAATTTATGATGATTCTTATTTTATATAATACTAGGCTATGGTCGCTACCTATATCTGCTGAGTTGAGGCATCTTACGTCGATTATTTTTGATGAATGTATATATCTGTTTGTTATAACATAATCTATCATTGATTTTTGTCCACGGTTGTTATTGATTCTCGTTATGTTTTGCTTAATTACGGGTATTTCTTAATTGCCTATTCCAGCGTTAAAATCCCTTGTTTTCCCTTAAAAAAAAACGTTTCCCTTGTTGTTTGAAGCTTGTTATTTTCCGGGCCGTATACTCCGATGATGTACAAATCTTCCTTCTCCATCCTTATTTTTGCTGTTACAATCCTTTCTGATATGTATTGACACTCTTTGATGTGATTATCGTACCTTTGGTGTATTAGTAAGGCTACACCTTCTTTGGTCCTGTTATTTTTGCTACTCCACTGTGGATTAGCATGTATTCAGCTAATTTTGATTGTCCTTTTCCTTCCTTTTTTGTTTCCTATACAGCGCAAATGTCTATTTGTTTCTCTTTCAACATTTATTATTACTTGGTCCCTTGAGTTTCTATTAACAACATTAGATATACGGACGACACTGTGATTTTAGCCGAAAATATTGAAGATCTTCAGAGACTGGTGACCATAATAGCGGAGTATGGAAAAGAGTACGGTCTAACAATGAATGTCAAAAAGACGGAATGTATGAGAATATCGAAAACTCAAAGAAATAACGAGAATCTCTAATAAATGGAGCCAACGTCGAACAAGTGAACAAATATGCATGTCTGGGCACAATCGCTTTGTAAAATGTTACATTTACTCCATACTGCTATATGGTGTAGAAACCTGGAACATAAAGGCCAATATGATGAACCGATTGGAGGCCTTTGAAATGTGGGTATTTAGAAAACTACTTAAAATTTCCTGGACAGATCACACAACAAATGTCGAAGTATTAAATCGAATGGTCAGAGAACGAGAATTGCTGTCAATAATAAAAATAAGAAAAACTGCTTATCTAGGTCATATATTTCGAAATTCCAAGTACCAGTTCTTAAAGCTTATTATGGAAGGGAAGATAGAAGGAAAACGGGGCATCGGAAGAAAGAAATACTCATGGCTTAAAAACATAAGGGATAGGACAAATCTCGATGCCCATGCACTCTTTAATGCCACACACTACCGAGAGGAGTATTCTGGAATTGTCGGCAACATCCACTAATTGGATAGGGTACCGTAAGAAGAAGAAGGGAACAATGATTAACTCCACAAATAATTACATTCAGGAGATCAGAATCAGAATAGAAAAGGCTAGAGCAAATTTCAACAAAATGAGAAGGTGGGGTGCTAAGTTTATTGACTTTGTTTTATGAAATGGAATCTTGGACCTTGAATGTGAAATCAATGAAAAAATTGGAATCATTCAATGTATAAAAGAATTCTGAGAATATCGTGGACAGAACACGTCACAAACAAAGAGGTTCTGAGAAGGATGAGTAAAGAAATAGAAATTTTAGATACAATTAAAACAAGAAAATTGGAATATCTCGTTGCTAAACATATTATACGTGGAGAGAAATACACATTGCTCCAAGTGATTTTGCAGGGAAAGATCCAAGGAAGGAGAAGCATAGGGAGGCGTAGAATGTCATGGCTGCGCAACCTGAGAGAGTGGTACGGATGTACATCAAATGAAATTTTCAGAGTAGCCGTCTCAAAAGTGCGAATAGCTATGATGATTGCCGACCTCCGCCACGGAGATGGCACTTGAAGAAGAAGAAGGTCCCTTGAGTCGGGTGGCCTCATATTCCATGTAGTAATTCTCATCTGGGTTTTGGATATTTTTCGCTTGTCTTTAGTTTTTGCCGTGGTCATCTTCATAGTATCAATCCTGTTTTGACGATGTACATTGCAGTAGGATCTGGTTATCAATATTAAAAGATTAAATCAATACAAAGAAAATACCACTATTATTAAGTTGATAACATATCGAGGATATATCATTTATGTTTAAAGTAACATACTTATAGAATTAGAGTTTAATAATATTATCGAGAGTAAACTAAATGTAAGACCAAATACTTACTACCAAAGAATATAGTTACTACGTCCGGATAGTACTTCAAATTTGTTTTTTGATTGTTTTCTGATGATTTAGTGCGGAATCACTAACAGGAGAATTTTACTGTCTTCATTGCATATGGTTGTATTTATAAATTACATGCTATGATTTTTCTGACACTTATTCTTAAAAGTTGATTTCATATAATTGAATGAACTATCGTCCAATAAAGTCGTACCAGTAACGCAACTTAAAATATTGACAATATCGTTTTAAAATCATTAACTTTAAAATCTATAATATATGTATATGTTTGATATTTCAGTATGAATGAATCAATTAAAATTAAATTAAAAGATATTTTGTATTGCCAAGTAACAAAGACAAAATTTGTTTAATTTGTATTTTGAAATGTATTTCCGAAGTGGAAATCAAAAACTCAAAATTAACAGATTTTAAACTAAATTTGTAATTACTTCCCAATAAAATAGTAAATTACATTATGTATTCAAATTTGTAAATAAAAAAAAATGGTTCAATAGTATTGCCATTATTATAAAAACAGTAAAATACTTGTTTTTTGTATAAATGGATTGAAATAACTAAAAAAATAAACTTTATCACAGTTTATTTAGAAAGGTACCACAAAACTAACTAAAGCAATAAAAATAATTAACAATAAAGAAGATGTAAATCAAGGAAATTTCATTTTATTTGGGCAAGCATGATTTAATCTATATTCTATATAGATTAAACCACTATTGTGCCAATAGTAAAGAGCCAAAACAACAAAAATGTGCCACCATTGATGTGAGTGTCCAATATAGTCGAATCTTCCGGCCAAAAATCTTTCCGGAATCTTGGTTATGTAGATGATGAATGCAACACCGCTAATCATGTACATTCCTATTACTCTTGGCAATAAGATCTAAAAAAAAAAAAATAAAAAATAACGTTTAAGTTAATTTTATTAACTGACAGAAAAAAAAATACTAAGATAAGTCTACAAAGCGGTTAACAGGTTGACTGCCGATCTATATTTTAAGATCACGGCTGACGCCAAACATTTTATTTGCTATATCACAATTTGTTTTGCAAAATGTAAAATAAAAAGTAGGTCATACAAGATATAAGAGTAGATTTTTTTGTACAAAACGTAAGAAACAACTCACTCCGATCGGAGTGGTCGGCGTCGTGTATGAAAATCTTTATTAGAGGCCGAATACTCCAGTCGGAGGGTACATGTATATTGTGTTAAAAAGTTAACAAAAGACATGTTGCATTTCAAAAATAAATTTAATATAAATTTTTATAGAGTTCTGTGATATTTATAAAAACATTGGAGACAAAAAACACGTTTTCCAGGACATATTTTACATTAATGGACTGTTTGCTTCCGGATTTTCCTCAATCTGCATGCTTTGCTTTCTTTTCACCATTTTAGACTATTTAATTTCCTTTGTCTCTTTTGTCGTTTCTTTTACTTTGCTAATAGTATGAACAATATTCGCTGTATGAGTAGAAACTGTATGTAAATGTTCAATATCGCAGCCGGCTAGCAAACTCCTAATTATGTGTAACCGAAAATCGTACAAACGTAAATTATCAAACTGAGAATACTTATTAAATAAGAAATGTGCATTTATAAGGCTCATTTGCAGCACATGTACAAATATTTTTTTTTGTACCAACGGATGGTTTTACGATCACATGGATAATAAGCCATCATTTGGTCTTGTCTGTCTACTCCGCATATAAACGCATTGTACCCAATTATAGACTCGCGTTTTTCTGATTCCTGTCCTCGTTTGTTTCTAAAAACACCCATTTCGCTGCCAAACACTGTACTAATGTATGGCACATTACGTTTGTCACGCCATTTTCCAACATGTACTGCATCAGAAAATGCAGATATATTCTCTTCCCGTTCTAAGTTTGCTGTCATAACCTCTTTAGGATTGTCTTTTCTATCTATTCTTAGAGTTCCAGTACAGTATGTATTTTACCAAGTTTCTCTTCAAGTAAATGTAACCCTATTTTTTCCATGTGTCCAATTCCACTATATACATCTGAAAATCCCTCTTAAATTCGAAATTTCAAAATTAGGCCATTTGGTTCTATTGCAAATATAAGCATGTATAATTTAATGCCATACTTATGGCGCTTGTTTTGAATATACTGCTTGAATTGTAGACAGCCCCTCCGCAGCATCATAGTTTCTTCCAACGATAGCTCTCTTTCAGGGTAATGAATCTCATTTATTTTTTTATTAAAAAATTCTACTACAGATCTTTCCAAGACGATCAGTTGCAGGTGTTTCTGGAGTCGTAAAATGCAAACACCTCAATATTAGAAGGAATCTATTTCGTGCCATATTTTCTAAAAACTGGTAAGTCAAATAAAAAGTCAGTTTTCCAGTAGTCGTTTAGATGACTCAAATGAATTGTTCCCGTGTAGAAAACAGACCCAAAAATATTTTTAATTCGTCCACAGTCAACTGTTTCCAAGCTGTAATTCAAGATTTGACAGATGTTTCTGGACGTAAAAATACCTCAAATGCATAAGAATTTGCATTATCTACCACATCATCATCAATCAGCCAATCGCGTCCACTGCTGGACATAGGCCTTATTCAGTTCTTTCCAGTGTTCTCTACACTGGGCCGCTTGTAGCCAGTTTCCCGCTACACGTTTTATATCATCGGTCCATCTAGTCGGTGGTCGTCCTCGGCTTCTTTTATAGTTTCTGGGCCTCCATTCCATAATACGCCTTGTCCACCGTCCATCTTGTGTTCTGGCTAAGTGCCCTGCGCAGTTCCACTTAAGCGTCGTGGATCTTTCGATGACGTCTTGAACTCCTGATCTTTGCCTCATTTGTTGGTTTGTTATGTGGTCTCGAAGGCTCACGTTCAGCATTGCACGTTCCATGGCTCGTTGTGTAGCTCTGAGTTTATTCGCAGATTTTTGCGTGAGTGTTACAGTCTCTGCTCCATAAGTTTGTACAGGCAAAACACATTGGTTATAAACCTTTTGCTTGAGACACATGGGAATTGAACTTTTTAGAATATGGCTTAATTTGCCAAATGCTGCCCATGTTAGGCCTATTCGCCTCTGTATTTCATGTGTTTGATTGTCTCTGCTTATTTTGATTTCGTGTCCCAGATATTTGTAAGTGTCTGTTTGTTGTATGGTATTATTGTCAATAGTTATATTTCCACTCATTACGAGATTTGTTATAAGTTTAGTTTTCTCAAAGATTATCTTTAATCCTGATCTTTCAGACAGACTTTTAAGCGAATGCATCATAGAAACTGTATCTATCATGTAAGTTATCTGCGATTAATACAACATCATCTGTAAACTTTAGGTGATTTAATCTTTCTCCATTTATATTGATGCCCATATCTTGCCATTGAGTGTTCTTAAATATTGACTCTATCTAGCACAGCTTGCAGTTATGTGTCAAAGATCATTTGAAAAAAATCGAGTGGTGTACTATGTCCTGGTACTGCCAGTAGTAAATTTTGAGTTTCCTTAAACACAAGTTGCTTTAGCTTACCCGTATTACTTCATTGTTTAATAATAAAACTTAGTACTTCTTGATTAGTAATATTATTAGAAGTATGGCTATTTTCCTCGTCAGTCTCTGAGCTTGAACTGGACTCACTGTCATCTACATTTGGATTAAATTCATCACTACTGTCGCCATTTTCCAAATACCATAATAATTCTTCTTCGCCTAACTTTTGTTTTTTGTTAATGTCTCTTTTGTAAATATTAAGTCTTTTATTATTAACACCAGAAGGTCCAGCTTTACTGTTTATTTTTAACCTCCACCGAACCACAAAAGAAACTGCGAAACCAACAAATGCACGTCTAAAAACAAAGTCTTATCTCGGACGCCTGGGACTGGAATGCGGCTATAACCAACTCCAATGAAATAATAAAGCGTACTGTCAAGAGATACCATTTACTCTGATCTAAGTGGCCGACGTGATCTAAGCTGCTTCATCGGTAATCAACCTATTAATAAAATTAAATTAGGTTTTCGTAGACTTTTTCATCTTGTTCCATCATGATTAGGATTATTCAAAAGAGGTCAACACAATAAGCGCTCCGAATTCGAAAACAACAAATGGTTTGACCCACTCAATCTAAGATTACTATAACTCGGTTCCAGCAGATTCTATCGACAAATTATAGGATTTGTAACAACCAACGGTTCCCAAGGTATATTTTAAATAAAGTTTGATTACAATTATAGTTTATTTGTTTGATCAGTGGTGAAGCGGTGTATGGTTTTCGTCTACAACGACTGTGTTCTCGTGATCTTCATTGTATAATGTTTCCCGACCATATTTCATTGTCCTATTGTGCCACGTGTCCTAACCCAGTTCCATATCATGTCAAGTCGTTGTTTCATAGAAAACTCCTAATACGGCTCGTTCGATAGCTCTCTGTAATGTCCTTAATGTATTGGCTGATAACTTTGTAAGTGTTCATTGCATACACGTTCATTGAAATTTGTTTTTATCTTTTTGAAATTAACACTTAGTCTCAATACCGCTGCTCAAGTCATTCGGATTCTTCTAGTGGTTTGTGTCGTTTGATTCGGTTTGCCCAGTTTGATCGTGTGATCTAGGTATATAAAATAACTTTGGAAACAATTAGTTCCACTATTCAATTTTCGACAAAGTGGTTCGGGGATTATTATTCCGCTTTAAATAGCCTTTCTTGCTCCCTCTTGTTAAACGTCCATATCCATGTTAATTTCTTTTCTGCACTGTATACTCTTTAATGCTTTTAATCTCACTTCATCTATGTCTATTGTGATATTTTGATTTGTCATCAATTTTGTCTTATTTAAATTCATTTTTAATAAACCTATTTTCCCAGATTCGCGTGTAAGTACCTTTAGCATGCATAGGAGTTCCTCTGTATTGTTGCTTACAAGTACTATGTCATCGGCAAATCTTAAGGCGCGTACAGATATTCGAGCAAAACGTACCGTACGTATACAGATTCTTGAAAATATGTCTACATCGTACTGATCGCATACTTATCTCGACCCATGGAAAGCGATAAAATCAACAACGAACACACTTGTGCGAAATGATTCATTTTATTTATAATTTGGGTATTGATTTATCGTGATTCTGTTTTTTACAAAAATAACAATATGTACAATTATCAGTTTACTGTTTTCTCACGCCTCTCTACTAAGGAACACGTCATTCACACAATGTCGATTTAATGAGACAATAAAAATGTTCGCTGCGTCTAGTAGCGCCGTCCAAACTGAAAGACGAGCTTCTTTTGAAGTCGTGGAATAAACCGCAACAATTTGGTTCGCGACGAGTCACGATGAAGCAGTACACAAGCGGTTTTTTCTGCCGTACACATTAACGAATATAGTGTTCGCATTCCGTTTGGCTCGTATATGTGAACCGAGCTTTCATCATCATCATCATCATCATTTTGGCTTTACAACCCTGTGTGGGTCCTAGCCTCCCCAAGAATTCTTTTCCAGTCGTCCCTATCCATCGCCTTCCTCCGCCAAGCACGTATTTCCATATTTCTCATATCTTGGCCTATGTTATCTAGGAATCTTGTTCTGGGCCTTCCTCTTCTTCTTTGACCAATAGGTCTATCAAGGAGCGTTTTTCAAGCTGGGTCGGTTTGCTCCATCCGCATTACATGGCCTACCCACCTCAGACGTCCTATCTTAATGTGTTTTACGATATCTGGTTCCTGGTATATTCTATAGAGTTCGAAGTTGTATCGTCTTCTCCAGACACCATTTTCATTTATCGCTCCATAGATCGCCTCAGTATTTTTCTTTCGAAACATCCTAATATGTTTTCATTGCTTTTTGTTAAAGTCCAGGTTTCTGAACCATATGTTCGGACTGGGCGTATTATTGTTTTGT